ATATATTTACGCAATTGGTTGGCAACGCTGGCCAACATACGTTATCTACTAGGTCTAACAAGTTTTCCAACTACATTTTACTCAGCCCAGTTTATACTCTTTTCTTTTCTTGTTTTTTAGTTCTACTATCGCCTCCCTTTGATTTCATAATTTTTATTTCTGTTCCTCTATTTTCAATACACTTTTCTTCACAATTATCTGTACTTTCAGTTCGTCTTTATATCCGTATTAGTTACCTCATTAGCCGTTTTTAAACTCAGATTTCCTCTTATCTTCACTTTTATTCTCTTTTCATTTTGTTGTTCATCTGTTTCTTTTTTCTCAGCGTTTCTATTGCTTCCCTGTTCGCCCACAAAGCAGGCGCTTAGCTCACACTCACTCACAACTTGGCTGGTGCACCTACCCCCAGCACGTCTGTCTAGAAAACACATAAGCATAAATCACTTGTAGGACAACTTGGCGCCGCCGGTTCACTCGTTTTGGTTTKATAGTTATTTTTATTTGTGCAGCATTTTCCAATTTTGCTTTTTTGTTTTCCCTCACAAAATTTCACTTGTTTTACTCATGCATAAGTATACATATGTGATAGTCATATATTATTTAATTTATTTAATATTTGTTTTAAATAATATTTTTATATATTTTTGGAGCGAATTATTTTCATTCGTCGCTTAGTAAGGCAGCTATATGATATAATAGTCCGATCTGTAGTATTGTAATAGTCAGTCGTTATGCAATTGCAACTTTCAGTCAAAATACCYTTATTTGCGGGTGAGAGGGTTGAAAGTAATTATCAGTGCCAGTTGCAGGTTACTAAGAACACCTCCTCTCAGTAACCGTGGCCCACTCTGGAATATATTTGGCAACGAACCGCAATTTAGGTAACTAAAAATCAAGCTGCTTTAATGAGACAAGTAGACATTGTGATAACAATTTGTGGTTGTAAAAAAATTAGCTAAGGAGAGGTAAGGTCCAGCCATTTGCGGACATTCCAGACATTTTGCGGAATCAAATTGTATGCAAAATTAGTACTTAMGTGAGGAAACGGAGCCTCTGCTGACCTCAAGACTAAGACTTCACGGAGAAATGGACAAATTGAGATTGTGTGTGTGATTCCCTACCTCAAGGGAACTAAATTGATGTTATTTTCGAAGTATCCAGACTTAGTGGTCTTACTAGAGTCCATCTGACCGGGTAATATTTGATCCAGAAAAGAATATATGGTTCACCATCGTAAAGGCTTCACGGAAATAATGAAAAAATTGAAAATGTAGACGAGGTTGGAAGCAATACTTWTTTTCTAAAGTACCAGATTTAGTGACCCTAGCAGAGCTCAGCTAACACTCATGCAACTTATTGGCCAGAAGCGAATATACTTGAGAGTCCAAACGTGAATTGTCTAGTCTATGAAATTAAGACGGACGTAGAAGAATTCGAGCCTCTGCTGTCATCAAAACTAAGATTACGCAGAAAAAGCAGAGAATATAAATAAAATTTGGAACAAGATTAGCCGCGATATTCCAATTTCCAGGCTTTGTGGTCTAAGTAGGGTTCGTAAACCTTCATCAACTTATTTTCTAAAGACTACGGTACAAACCACGTACGGAAGCAAGGAACTCAATTCCGAAWAAGATCAGTGAAAGTTCTAGCTTCAAAAGATTTGAGTTTTATCGAGTTTATGAATATTGAGTAGACTCTTCAAAAAAGTGGAATTAGTATAGTTGTGTTRACTTGAGAGACTTTTAAATAGTGASGAAATTCAGGAGATTTTCTAAGCAATCCTAACCCAAASGCATCCCAATAACTTTAGCTACAGTTTAGTGACACTGTCATCTCACAGCTGATTTTAAAAACCGTCTAGGAGATCAAAAAAAAAACTTTGGCAATATTCCACTAATATTTTCCTTTGCTTACATAATCCTCAATATGTAGAGTTCGATTTTAGTACTTTTTCTCAACCTTCAAAACATATTAGTCCTCATCCTCCTCATCCACTGATCCCAAGAGTTTTCTACTAAAAAATCTGCCGCAACCCCCATTCTCCTATCTTCGTTGCCATGCTGTTATTGTTTCCATTTTTATTTGTTCTATTGCGTTCTTATTATTTTCGGATGATTTTCTATCGTTTCCCAGTAAGTCAATYGGATCATTACCGCTTTTAACTAATATTGCATCACCTGACACTGTTCCGTAGACTGATTCAACTTTGAGGGCTGGCGGTGCATTCTGGTCACTACCTTACGCCSRTTKYCYTTTTWA